GCGGCATTGAGGTACCCAGCTGGCTGCGAGCAAGCAATGCTGCGGATCACAAGGCCAGAGACCGCCTACGCTTGACACCAGAAACAAAGGCAGACGATTTGCGTCTTCAGGCAGATCGCAGCTTATTCACCGCTGAAGTACGTATTCATAAACAAACACTTGTCTTCTCCTCCTAAACCTCTCCATCACACCTGTCGGCAGAGCAAGGAGGTTGGTGACACATGCCCCAGCGCCCTGCGGTGACCAAACCCCAGCCAGAGCCGAGGGGCAGCAGGGACAGCCCGGACAGGCAGCTCGGGGAGATACAGAGGTCCGTCCTGGGGTCCCCACCATCCAGGAGTGCACCTCAACCCACGGCGCAACCTCATCTCACAGCCTTCACCCCAGCAGACCCTTCGAAAGTCCCAGCCCCGCGGCCCTATCCCACTGCAGATGCAACTCTCTATTCAAACTGAGTTTTTGAAGCGCTCAGCCAAGCAAGCCAAATCCCAAATTGCTTTATAAACACTCTGCATTTCACCAGCGTGGGCTGAAGACATCAGCAACGGGAGCAAAGCCAAAGTGACTTGCAGAGGAACAATTTGGGAGGGATGAGTGAGGAAGAGCTGGAGTGCTGCCTCTTGATATTTTTGCCATTCGATGGGAAAACAGCCTCATCCATCCCCCACCCATTGGGGGTTCCCCCCCCACACCCCGTAATATTGATGGCCATCACCTCTATATTGATGGCCATCACCTCTATATTGATGGCCATCACCTCTATAGTGTTGAAGACCTCAGCCTGGCTCCTGCTCAGGCGCAGGAATAAATCCAGAGCTGACGGTACGGCGGTTGCACGCAGGTTGCAATGCTGTTACTTACTGGTGTTTTGTGCTTTCCTTTCCTCTGCCCAACCATCCACACAAATGCCCATTAAATTAAATAGGATCGTTTGAACACCCCAAAGTGATAAATGCCAGACCCCAGGAAGCTCATTACTTGCTAGTGTATTGATTTATGGGGAACCAGCTCAGATACCATGGTGATAGCCGGCACTCTACACCCAGGGGAGACACAGGAGAGAGTGGGAATTAATAATAAGTACTTTGATATAAAAATACCTCTGCTAGCAGGTTACATCTGTGCTTGAGGAAAGACAGAGCAAAGGAGGGGCTGCTCGGATGCTTCCACATTCCCCATCAGTTTACTGCTTTTTAGTATTTCACAGAAAAGAAGAAAACTTTGGGCAATATTAAGAAAGATACAGTCACAGCAACCAGAGCAGCTGAGCTGCGACTTATTTGATTTCATTTGAGCAGGACTAGCCACGGCAGGGAGGGGAGGAATGAGTACTGCATATGCCTGCACGTGCCCGAGTTATTCGGGAAGTTTTCAAGCTGTTTCCATGTATTGGCTTGTTTTTCTCTTTTACTGACGTCTGGCAACTGTGCTTTTGAAACTAGACAGCCACAAATGCGTTTCACAAAACGGAAAATTAAACAAGGCTGGAAGAGCAGCAAAGGGAGAGGTTTAGGTTAATTTTTATCCCTAGGCTTTGTTTTCCTCAAAATCAATAAGAAATACCGCTCCCTTGACACACGCTCTCCCTGCTACGCCCGCGTGAGCGAAGCATCATCCAGCTCGAGCTCCCCAAGCCCTCCGCATCCGAACACCGCCCCAGGGACAGCGGGGACAGCCAGCTGGGACAACCGGGGTCACACCGACATGAGCTGCAACGAGTTTGTTAGGTCTCAGTCTAAGAAGAAAGCTGGCATGTGTCGCACCCCGCACCTATAGATACACCTTTTTTTGTCCCCTAAAGAAAAGCTTGGCGGGGGCGGGGGATAAAAAAGCTTGGCTGGTTCCTGGGCCAGCTATCCCTGCTGGGATGCCAGCAGCATCCAGTGCTGTCGGGGCCCCAGGTCCCCCCAGCCCCGCCGAGGGATGCTCAGGACTGGTTTCACTGGGATTTACTACCCCCAAAACCTCCCGGTGAAGCGAAGCAGCTCTTCTCTGAGCCACACATACCCAGTGCCCTGAGATTTAGCATGAAAA